ACTTCCCATAAAAGGATCCACACAGGGGAGAAGCCATATAAGTGCATGGAGTGTGGAAAGAACCTCTGTGAATATAGATCCCTTATGAGACATAAAAGTATCCACACAGGGGAGAAGCCATATAAATGCATGGAGTGTGGAAAGAGCTTCTGTAAAAATTCATCCCTTATGAGACATAAAAGGATCCACACAGGGGAGAAGCCATATAAGTGCATGGAGTGTGGAAAGACCTTTACTGAAAACAGTCATCTTACTTCCCATAAATGGATCCACACAGGGGAGAAGCCATATAAGTGCACGGAGTGTGGAAAGACTTTTATTGAAAACAGTCATCTTACTTCCCATAAAAGGATCCACACAGGGGAGAAGCCATATAAGTGCACGGAGTGTGGAAAGACTTTTACTCGAAACAGTCATCTTACTTCCCATAAAAGGATCCACACAGGGGAGAAGCCATATAAGTGCACAGAGTGTGGAAAGACTTTTACTCGAAACAGTCATCTTACTTCCCATAAAAGGATCCACACAGGGGAGAAGCAATATAAGTGCATGGAGTGTGGAAAGAGCTTCAGGAGGAGGAATGACCTAATTTCCTGTACACATTTCTCTTTGGGTGAAAATCCATGTAAATTCTAGATTTAGTTCTTTAAATCAATGCATTTTCTATTTGTGTACACTGAACTGGGAAAAGAAGATTTCCTTGAGTCTGACCCTCACAACTGGCAGCCCAAGAAAAATTAATTTACCAATGAAAATTAAAGGTCGGTTTTAATTATGAACTGGATTTTTGAACATACTGTTATTTTAGGTGGCGAATGCTACTGCACATCAATAAGAGAATTTTTTTATGTTTTTATTTTTTTTATTTATCATATATACTGTATATAGCCGCCCATCTCACACAAGGTGACTCTGGGCAGCGTACAACAATTTAAAAAATACAGACATTAAAACAATGACACATTAAAAAAACTGTAAAAACAAACAAAATGGAGGGGATAAAATTAATAAGGGAGCCATCATAAAATCTCCCCGGTCCCCTGGCAGCCCCAGGCCTGATCCCATAACCAGGTCTTGAGGGACTTGGAGAACATTAAGAGGGATGGAGCTAATCTCACTTCCGGGGGGAAAAGATTCCACAAGGCGGGCGCCACGGCAGAGAAGGCCCTCCTGGGAACCGTCACATGTAATTCTCTAGCAGACAGGATCCGCAGCATGCCTTCTGTGCCAGATCTGATGGGATGTGCAGGTGTAATTGGGGAGAGGCAGTGCTTCAGGTAACCCACCCCCATGCCGTGAAGGGCTTTAATGGTCAAAACCAGCAGCTTGAATTGCACCCAGAAGCAAACTGGCAACCAGTGCAGCTCGCGAAGCAGTGGTGTAACGTGTACAGCCCTGGGGGGACACATAACTGCTCATGCGACTGTACTTTGCACCAGCTGAAGCTTCTGGATACTCCTCAAGGGCAGCCCCATGTAGAGCACACTACAGAAATCCAAACGGGAAGTGACCAGGGCATGAGTGACAGCGATTAGATCCCTCTGATCTAGGAATGGGCGCAACTGGTACACAACATGAAGCTGTGCAAAGGCCCTCCTGGCCACGACTGCTATCTGCTCTTCTAGCAGGAGTCCTGAGTCCAGGAGGACCCCCAGATTGCGCATAGAGTCTGCCTGGGGGAGCGCAACCCCATTCAGTACCAAAGATGGCATAGCTCCAGGACTAGAAGGCCCCAGAACCCACAAACACTCAGTCTTGCCAGGGTTCAGGTGAAGCCTGTTGTTCCCCATCCAGACACTCACAGCCTCCAGGCACCGGGATAAGTCATTCGGGGCATCGCTTAATTCAGCAGGGGCAGAGATCTATAATTGGGTATCATCAGCATACTGATGACACCTCACCCCATGGCAATGGATGAGCTCAGTCAGGGGCCTCATGTAGATGTTAAATACGAGGGGGAAGAGCACTGAAGTCTGTGGCACCCCACATAACGGGTCGAGGGTGGGATCTCTCTTCCCCAACCACCACCTACTGGAATCTGCACTGGAGGGAGGAGGTGAACTGGCACAACACAGTGCTGCCCACCCCCAATCCTCTGAGCCCATCCAGAAAGTTACCATGGTCGATGGTATCGACAGCCACTGAGAGGTCAACTGGGGCAAGAATGGATGCACAACCCCCATCCCTCCCTCGCCAGAGATCATCCAAATGCATGACCAATGCTGCTTCTGTCCCATGCCCAGGCCTGAATCCCAACTGAAAGGGACCCAAATGATCCGCTTCATCCAAGGCTGAGACTGAGGACCTGGAACACAAAACCCGCAGCAAGCAAGGGTCCCACAGTCCCTGGAAATGGCCTGCTCCCCGTCTCCCACATCTCCCTGTGCCCGTCACTACCATAATATTTTGGCCCACCCCTATCACTCCAACAGCAGCCGCATCCCTATATCGAAGCCCCTCAATTCCCAAAACCAGGGAGCATCCACTCTCCTTACCAGGCATGACTGGGAGGGGAGCTGCCCCCCCCCAAGGCTCTTTAGCCTACCAGCTCTCAGAGCCATCAGAGCCCAGCAACCGCCTCCCCGACTTCATTGCCACACCTCACACACACACATACATGGGGATCCCTCCCTTGCTGCTCCCACCAGCAGGCAGTGGGCACCCTCCCAATTCAGCCGTCATCAATGTCTTCCTCCTCCTCCGACTCTCACCCAGAGAGAGGGTCAACACGTTCAAACCCACGCGCACTCATACACACCCCACTCAGCATCCAGGACCTCCTACCTACCCTGCTGCTCCCACCAGCTGGCAGAGGCTCCAGCCATTCACCCTCCCACCAGGCCCACCTCTGGCTCTCTCCCAGAGAAAGGCAAAGGGGGAATAGCGTTCAACTTCCAGTGGGAAGCCCACAGTCCAACTCCCAGGCCCTTCACCATTAAATGGGAGCAGTGGTGTTTCCTTCTTCTTCTCTGGCTACCAGAGGGAAGCAGAAGGGCCTCCGCAGTGGAGGGGGGTCTACCACTGTCCAAAGAAACAGCTTGGGCAGTTCTCCAAAGTGGTGCGAAGAACTCCGTCCAGCAGCAGCCGACTCCTCCAGCCAGGCCAGCCAAGCCGGCCCAGAAAGTTCCAGAAAGCCGCAGCAGCTGCAGCTGAGCCAGTCCTGACAAACGCTGCCCCCGAATTCCAAGGAGCCGCCAAGTTGGCGAACGCAATGAATGTAGCTGGGGTGGCCAGCACGGCCGGCCGGCACTGCAAACACCAAGCGCTGCCGTCGCTCGTGCTCCTCCAGCCGAAGAAGTCCAAACAGACCCGAGCTGTGCAGCTTCTATATGGGTGAGTGCCAGTCCAGGGCATCCTCCACGCAACAAGCACGTACATGGCAGACACATACAAAAAGCCTAAAATTTTAATAACATTTTATTAAGTTCACGTTTCTCCCAGTGTTAGAGAGGAACCTGACAAGGTTTCTCTCCCAGCTGGGAATAAACACGCAGGCGGTTGCTTGAAGTAGAGAAGAGTTGATTTTCCAGGGCCAGATACACAAGAGGATCAGCTGTGGGGCAGCCATGCTCGGGTTTCCCCAGGAGTTCCTTTATAGGGCAGATCCTATCGGTCCTTGAAAGGCACGAAGAATGCCGGCCCTCAAGGAATTCTTGGAGGTGATTAGCCGGGAGTCCCAGAGAGGTGAAATTGGTTGGATCTTTAGAAAGGAGTGTTCTCAGGTCAGGCGCCCTCCTGTACTGGGGTTTCCTGCAATTCCCTTACCTGGTATGGTCTAATTGGCAGGTAGATACCTTCAGAGAAGAAATCTTCTTATGATCTGATTAAGATTTCAAGGTATTGAGAGAAGTGAGTAGGATGATGTATCCAAACTGAGCCGAATAATGTATCCAAACCAACTGTAGATCGGAACCAGCTTAGAGCAGTTCTTATCCGTGTAACGGTAGCTAGCTGAAATCATGAGCTCAAAGACAGAAACGCATATGGGTAACGAACTAATGAATAGTAGCTAACACACCCCACATAATTAATAAGCTAATTATAATGAACAGGCCATGTATGGACATGCATCTAATAGGAGGAACCAGGAAACTTCAAAGAGCCGGTCAGTCCTGAAGAATGTAACCTTGGAGTGCCTCAGCCCATGGGGAAACGAGGGAAGAATGATGGACGGGCTAGTTAGAAACAAAAAGTAAGGTGAAGAGCCTGGTCCCTTGGAGACCAAATCCGATTGTGCGGATTCTCCCCACTTATTGCAATAAAGGAGCTAAACCACCACCTTGTGTCCAGAGGGTTTGTCTCTTGGAGTTTTTCCGCCCTTGCATGAAGGAAAGTGCTAAGGGGAGCATATCACAGCCTGTGGGCCCTTCCTGCCACGTCTTTAGTTATTTAATTTTGGGCTGAGGTGGAGGAGTCCCGATTCTTTCTGTTATATCTTAATCTTTCTACATGAGCCCGTTCTTAGTATAGTTTAGTCATATGACTTCATTGCTGTTAAGATAAACAGTGGTAGGGTGAGACAAATGGGAACCTTTGACTTCCTGCTGACATGGGGAGGGGGATAGAATTTGATTTCCTTTTCACAATCCCTCCTTTTTCTTTTTGTGCAAAAACAGAATATTTTATGAACAATCAGTTAGGGAATCTTGTACCTACATGTCATCCTGTGACTCAGAAAGGGATGGAGGCCCCCACTGGGGGGAGATGGTTAGGAAGAAAATAAATAAACAAACAAACAAACAAACAAATGTTGATCTTGCTTTGAGAACATAAGAGCATTCCCTACAATGCCCCAAGCAGGAGGGTAAACACTGAGCAAAACAGCAAACAAATATTCCTACCACCAAGCCCATCATTCCCAGAAATGTTGTCTTCAGCCAGACAAAGTTTGGTAAACAGGAGGCAAGCCATGAGAAATCAGAGAAGCCCTGACTGTAGCCAATGTTGTCAACCAACGTTTTGAAATCCTCTATGCTTCCCTCTATCAATTTCGAATTATCAACCAAATTAAAAGAGCAAACGTCTCCAGGAGGGAGAAGGAAAATGGCTCAGGCGGTTAAATGCAGGGCAGTCCACCCCTGTGGAGTCCTTGGGGCTCTCTGAGCTTGGTTGTTCTCTTGCAAACGTTTCTTTCTAGCACTGAAGAGGTTACCTAACCAGGTAATGAAACATTTGCAAGAAAACAACCAAGCTCAGAGGACCCCAAGGACTCCACAGTTCAACCTTGAGCTATACATATTCACTTCTATTGGTCAATCCACCCCTGCAAGCTCTCTCTTACGATCACCATGCCCAGCCCTCCGCAGGATGCCCTGAGTTTCACTTGAGGGGCTTTACCTGCCCATTGTATGTATTGCAGACAACAATAAAAGCACATTTAGAGGTTTGGTTGATTATTAGAGACTGCTGAGTTCGCAACCACTCTCTCACAAAGTCAAAATAGTCACCAATTTTAGAGTCATTCAATGGCTTTGTGTTGACAGGGAATGTCCCTTGCCAGTCATGAGGCACAGACGTGGAGA